GGTAGGTGCCTCTGCGGCCTCCCAGCTGCTTGCTTCTTCGGCTGGAGCAGTTGCAAGGGCTTGCATGGTCCCCAAGGGCCGCTGCTGCGCTCCCCGCCACCGGCGAACTCCTGCGCCAGTCAGCTGGCGACCCCCGGACCTGCGCCCATCAGCTGGGAGGTCTGGAGACAGAGCCGGCTGGTGTGGAGGGCGATGGGGAAGCGGTGGTTTGGCGGGCGGGGTCCTGCCTGCACGCGAATGTCAGGCCCACCCGCCCCATCTGTAAAAGAAAAAGTCTTCCGCCCAAGCATAACGCCAGCAGTTCTGTGCCACAGAGGCTTGAGACACGGAGGCGCGAGATGCGGAGCGGTGCGGTGCAGTGGGAGGCGGCAGGACGGGGGGAGGGTTTACCTGCATCCTGCCAGCCGAACTCTGGAAGCCTGCCTGAATACCCGTATTTTCCGGTGTATAAGACGACTGGGCGTATAAGACGACCCCCGACTTTTGAGAAAATTTTCAGGGTTTAGAAAGTCGTCTTATACGCCAGAAAATACGGTATTCATAATCTAAATATTAAACAATACAATACTAATATTAAAAATAATAATAATATCATATAATTAAAACTAACAAAAATTCCATTAAAATAAACTATTAATAATAACAATACTCTAGAGTTTACTCATAACCCAAATGAAACTTTTTAGTCCCATATTTATTCTTCTCCAGACCGAGATGTATCTTTCTTGTGACTGATCCTTCAAATAAGTGGAAATTTTAGCCATTTCTGCTAAATTTGACACTTTAAGCGTCCATTCTTCTATAGTGGGCAAAGAGTCCTTCTTCCAAAATTGGGCTACCAATAAACTTGCAGCTGTTGTAAGATTCAACATCAAATTCATTTCTTTAACATCCGAATCTTCCATAATGCCTAACAAAAATAACTGCGGTGTAAACTTTATCTTTTTCTTAAAAATATTTTGAATATTCCACCAAATCTTAATCCAAAATGCTTTTATATCCCTACACGTCCACCAAATATGAAAATAAGTTGCATCTAAACTTCCACATCTCCAACATTTGGGCTGTAAATTAGGATACATACAGGACAGTTTNTTTTGAGCTTGAGTAAATTTTACATTTCTAACCCAAATTATCTCCCATATTTCCAATGAAATTGATTCTTGAATATTTTGAGCCCATTTTACCATACAATCTTTAACTAATTCCGTTTCAGAGTCCAATTCTATCAAAACATTATAAATTCTCTTTATGTGGGCTCGAGTTTGATCTTTAATCTGTTTTATCAAATTCATATCCTGCTCTGAGGTAATCTGATGCGTTATAGGTACAACATCCATCTTTTGCTGCTCTTTTTCTTTATGTCTGTGAGCTGCATGGGTCATTCTTTGTCCCTTTGGATCATCTTTCATCTCGGAAAGTTGCTGCTTATCACCTTGTGAATCTCCTACACTTAATGGCATTGCTCCTTCAACCGCTTGTTCTTCAAACATTCTTCTGCTAAATCATGGAGATAGTGGTGAACCTGCCTTCAAAACCGAACTGTAAAAATCTCTTGCTTTCAAAATTGTGTTAAGTCTGTAACATGTCCCCATATAGCTCACCACAATTCCAACAGGTATATCCCATCTGAATTGAATTTGTCGTTTTTTCAGCTCTTCAGCCAAAAAAGCAAAGTCCTTTCTTTTCCTAAGTATCTTAGGAGGTATTTCCTTGAAAATTATAACATCTTGCGCTAGAATTTGGAATCTCTGTTTATAAAAGGCTTGAATAACTTCATTACGAATTGATCTTCTGGAAAAGTAAATTACAACATCTCTTGGTAAATTTCTTTGTCATGCGACCCATGAATTTACCCTAAAAAAAAATTCTATCTCTCTCAAAATTTCTTCAGGTTCGCACGACAAAACAACAGCCAGGTCTGCTGCAATCTCTTCTTTCAAATTTTCTTGCACGTTCTCCTTCAATCCCCTTATTCTCAAAGCATATTCCATGTCTCTATATTGTGACATAATAATTTCATTCTGAGTTATATCCACATTATCCTCTACTTTTCCAAGTCTGTCCTCTAATCTTTCAACATTTTCCACCACCTCGTCCATCCATTCATCTAAGCGTTCTACGTGAGCTGCTAAACCTTGAAAAGCTGTTTCGCTGTATTCATCAAAGCATCCTGCAAGTCCTTAAGTGTAAGTGATGGCGGTGGGGGAGAAGGAGGGGGCGTCTTTGGCTTAGGTTGCTGTGAAGTTTGAATAACCGGAGAAGAAATCTGACCTTTCGGAGGAGCAGAAATTCCAGTACGTTTTGAAGCCATCTCTTTTTTTAAAAAAAATCTTGTATAATCTTGTAAAAGCAATAGTTGCAAGATATGTACAGTATATAAGAAAAAAGAAAAAACAATAATAATAAAAAAAGGAAAAAGGAAGCTTGCAATTTACATAAACTAGTAAGTGTTACATTGTTTCCTTGTCTTCACTTAAACGTCAAGTAAAAGTGAAAGTCTCTTAAGTATCACTTCAAACAAAAGAACGACATTCCGTGGCCATATTTTTTTTTCTTCTTGTAGTTTAAATAGTAAATGAAGAAGATACTTATTTATCTTCTGAGTTAAAGTCCCAAATTAACCAAATTCCAATCCTCCTGATCAGCTCCATCTGATTTTAATTTTACTCACAGTCTCTTCAATTAGCAGATGTGGAAGCAGCGTCTGGCTTTGTTCCTAAGAACAAAGGCGGCCTGAGGTGCGGAGAAAACCCAGACTCCGAGGGAGTTCCCACCTTCGTCCTCCAAAGAAAATTTTTTAGAGGACTAGGGAACTCAACCTCTATCCAGGAAAACTCACCTCCTCCCCTTCACCCAGGGAGAGAGGTTTCAAGCCGCGGAACAGCTGTTGAACGCTGTTCCTTCAGGCTTTAACGCATCCCCGGGGCGGACGGCTTAGAAAAAAGCCGCCATCAGCGCGGCAGTCACCACCAGAATTCGATCTTCCCATGGTTTTGTAGATGTTGCTGTCAGTACAAAAGCTAAGTCAATTAAAGTATTTTTGTGAAGATATTGCTCAGAGATCTTTCTCTTTTTTTCTCTCTTAGTTTCTCCCATCACCTTTTTTTCCTCTCCAATTCTTGAATTCTTGATGTATAGGTTGTCTTTTCCATGTCCAGTATTTCCTGGAAGGTTTTGTCCATCTGAATCCTTCCATTATTAAATTCCATCTCAAAGTTTCTTTCCACTAGTTTATATTCAGTTGTCTGCTTTACATGATCTCTCTCTCTCTTTTTGTTTTCTGATCCTTTATTTGTTGTGACGTTAAATTGAGAATGCATTCATTTAAATTTTCAAATTCATTTTTAATTTCCTTGTGGTTTGAAATTAATGTCATTTGTATTTGTTGTAACATAACATACATTTCCTCCTAGAAAGTATTTATTTTTTCTTGATATATTCTTTCTGCAGGCCTCTGATGCTCCATAATGACCAAAAATCCTTTCTCTGCCAATTGCTTTAAAGTTACAGTTTAAAAAATATTTATAATCCAGGAAGGTCATTTTTTTTCTCTAAATTTTATAGTCCACAATGTTTTCTTTTCTATTACTACAGCTGTTCTTTGTTTGGTTAAAGCTTTGAAGGTCACAATAAGTTTTTTTTCTAGGCTGTATATTTAGGATAGTATTTCCACCCACCACTAGATGTCAGCACCAGTCCATCTTTCAATTTTCAAAACAAATAAACCATTTATCTCCGTTAATAATCTTTTGCCAGGAAACTCTTAAGAAATTCCATCGATTTCACCTTTTCCAAGTTTAAATCTTATATTAATTTTATTTCTGTGTATTTTTATTCCCCATAAATTTAATTCACCGCTTCCATTTAGAGGAGGGCGGAGCAAAGACTCCCCCCTCACTTTTGGAGGATTTTTATTTCTGGGTTTTTTTCTTTTTCTTTTTTCAGGAAATCAGTCAGGTAGAAGAAAGAAAATCAATATTCAATCATGCTGTTTACGATCACTTAATTCAGCTGCATGTAGCTAGGGCTAGACTCACGAATGACGCTAGCCTGTCTTCTGTTGGTTTCTGGAGAGCTTTCCCCAGATGTCTGGATTGACCACCATTTCCCCAGGTTCGGCAGGGCTTCCCTTCTTCTTTGCTACATCTCCGGGGTTGCTTTTGGCCCACTTAGGGTCCTCGAACAGAGAGAAATCAGCCGTAGGGTGCAGAGCCCCGCAATCCCTCGGCTGTTGTTGCTAACTGTGCAAAACCAGAAGCCTGAAGTCCACAAGTCTTAAAGTGGCTAAGTTTGGAGACCCCTGTTTTATGCAAATAATACAGAACAATCAGTACTGTAATACTGTTACAAAACATAAATCAGGGAACACCACTGAGTTTAATTTATCATTGGGGTTTTATCTGATTTTCTTGGATGCTTCGCAGAAAGTAGAAATGAAAGCATTATTGGAGCAGTGGGACACTATTTTAAGATGCTGGCAAATGCCTAATCTTGCCCATTTGTGAATTGTACACCTCTCTATATGAGTTGAAAGTATCTCATGTATATTATAGGATTGAAGAAGAATCTTGGAACTTGCTATAACATATTGCTTTTGATTTATAAGGTGTGAGTGATGTTTGCATAGGTACAATATTTGTTTAATGATCTGAACAAGAATGTAATGACTCACTTCTACTAATGGTATGATTTCTTAGCAACTTTAAATTTTGAAAGCTATGTGAAAAAATGACATGTTTGTTAATCAACTAGAATGTTTCTTTCTTTGCAAAAGACTGGAAATAATCCCAAAACTAGACTATATATACCATTATGATATTTTAATAAGGATAATAAAATATACCAGACAGTCTCTTTTAGAACTAGAGTTCTGGCTCTAGATGTTATTAAAAAGAATCCTGTCAATCTTCAATCTTCAAAGCCCAATTTAAAAGGCTTTGAGTTTTTTTTCCTTGAAAAGTAATACATAAATCTTTTAAATAAATGCTAAGATATGCTTGCTTCAGCAGCACATATACTAATATTAGAATAATACAGAGAAGATTAGCATGGCCCCTGCACAAGAATGACAACAAATTCTCGAAACATTCCATATTTTAAAAATTAAAATAAGTACTAAGACAGCTCTGATTCTGAAGATCCCTCAAGCAGAAGAACAGTATTGAAGGACAACAGAATAAAAGACAGAAAAGTGCAGAATAGGGCAATCAAAATTATTTAGGCACTAAAAGAGTTAGCCTGCAGCGAAAGGGAGCAGTGTTTCCACATATGCATCTTAGAAAGAAGTGATTAAGGAAGGAGATAAGATAGAAGCATATGAAGCACTGAATTAAAAATGTGGTTTGAAATTCCATCTACCCTTAATAGCTTCAGAATCCATGAATTGAAACTAAGAGTTTTGGATTTGATTACTCCAAATCCTTCTGTCATTGCTTTGTATTCACAGATTAATAAGAAGGACTTTAGCAAAACTTAAAATTTAATCATATACTTCTTTATGTAAAAAGTCCTTATTTACATAAATGGTGGCATTTACTGCTATAAATTCAATGCCTTAGTGCTTATCAACTTTTATGTTTTTTAAAAGCTATTAATTACATTTATAGAAGACATCTACAGATACTAATTAAATGTGCAAAAGACTGACTAACTTAGTTACAGGAATTATTTTACTTTTGACAGCTTTATTCAGAATCAAGGGCATCATGCCAATTAAATACCAATTTGTAAGGGAAAAGAGTCAAAGTGACTTCACATCTTCTGTCCTATTTATGACCTAAGGATACATCTGCTAGTGTAAACAGGCTTGAACAAGACATGAATTTGATTTGATCCATCAAGCTATTTTATATTGCATTTATCCTATTGTCATTTTCTGCTAGGTTTTTATAAATTTATGAGGTGGAAGCTCAAGAAACACAAATTAATTTAAGAATTAAGAATAGAGATTTCATGTCCCTCCCTTCCCACTGCAGCCTGTCATTCCTGAGGACTCAGAACCTCTATGATGCTGTCTGATACCACCCTACAGCTTCAGAAAGGCGTGAGATGCCATGGGATGATAGATGGCTAAAATTGCTTTTGAAGGCTCAGGGTTGTGGGGAAGGGTCTACAGTTAATAGGGAGTAAACCATGATTAATACAACAGGACTTAATGCTTGGTAAACATGCACATAATTGCACTTCTGGCTACAAATGCACCTTCCATCTTAACCTGCTACCTTTTAGTCACGCAGCTGATTTTCTAGTCTAGGCTGCTTATCTCATTCCTTCTTTATGATCTTTGGCTTCTTCCAGGACTTTACTTTCTGGTTTTGTCATATGTTATATGTCATATCATAATTGAAAACATAAACATATTTGAAACAAGTACAAATGTATTTATAAATTTGTGGGCGATTCATATATCATAACCAGTTTTGAACAATAGCACATAAGTGGCAACACTTCTTCAGAAGAAAAACAAAAATGATAGAAATATTGATTTAACCAATTGGTGTGATTGGAGCACATATAGGCCTCAGTTGGACCTAAGTTGCTTGTTTTAATTCTGGGTCGAAGCAATTCTAAGCTATGACCTTAATGCAGAGGTGGGGAACTATGGTTCCTTTATGACTTAGGACTTCAACTCCCAGAATTCCTGAGCCAGCATGGCTGGTTCAGGAATTCTGGGAGTTGAAGTCCACAAGTCATAAAAATGCCATTGTTCCCCATCCCTGCCTTAATATAAACCTAATAGTGCTCTAATAGTTGCTATTTATGCATATCCATATTTTCCCATTTATTTTCTGCCATTTTAGAATCATACCTTAAATTCTAGTAGTGTCACATGTTTGGGAATAAGTCTTCCAGCATACTCTGGTCCTCAGGCACTGTTCCTTCTGTTGGTAGCGACTCAATCTCAACTGAGTCATCCAGCATGTCTCCTTGAGTCACACAGGACTCTGGCGGCTCAGACGCGCCGGAGCTGTCAGGCAGCCCTCAGCTCTCCTTTTGGTCGGCGGCGAGGGATAAATGCAGCTGATCGATGTGGCGGTGCAAGACGTGCCTGTCTTCCAGGACCACTTCATAAGAGAGTGGTCCTGACACCTTACAAACCACAGCTACCACCCACAGTGCCCCTTGACCGTAGTTCCTTGCCCAAACTCAGTCGCCGACTTGCAAGTTCCTCGGGGGCTTGGGCTGTGCTGTCTTTGTTGCGATTCTGTCTGCATGGAGATGGTCCAGCTTCGTGGTCAGCTGACGTCCCCATCTCAGCTCTGCTGGGCTATGACCCGTTGAGGTGCATGGAGTTGTGTGTTGACAGAGCAAAAAGTCTGCCAACCTGTGATGGCAATCGCCCCTGGTTAGTCTTTTAAGTGCTTCTTTGGTCGTCCTGACCATCCTTTCCGCTTGGCCGTTAGAGGCCGGGTGAGACGGGGTAGAGGTGGCGTGTCTAATCATATTAGAAATGACTGAAATTCTGCAGCAGTAAATTGTGCCCCATTATCTAATACAATTACATCGGGTAAGCCATGTGTGGAGAAGATTCTGTGCAGTTCCTGGATGGTCCTGGCAGTAGTCATAGAAGGGACAGGTGCTACCTCAAGCCACGTTGAGTGACTGTCCACTACAATGAGGAACACCTGTCCTTGGAAGAGTCCTGCGTAGTCTATGTGAATCCCAGACCAGGGAGTTTGTGTAGTTTCCCAGCGATGTACTGGGGCTTGAGGCATTTCAGGTCTGGACTGTTGGCAAACCTGGCATCCTTTAACTTGAGCCTCAATATCCTTATCCAACCCTGGCCATCACAAGTAGCTTCTCATGAGTGCCTTCATTCTGACTATTCCAGGATGACCCTCATGCAGAGATTCTAAGACTCTTTCCCTTAGCGTGTGTGGGACTACAACCCTACTCCCCCATAGAATACATCCCTTGTGTGCAGACAGCTCGTCCTGTCTTCTAATAAAGCTCTGAAACTCTGTTCCAGGACTGGTTCCTGGACACCCCCTCAGCACCCAATTCAAAACTTGGCTGAGAGTTTTGTCGGAGGTTGTCTCAGCAGCCACATCCCCAGCGTGAAGGGGAGATTCAGGCAAATCCTGAATTGACAGAATGCGTGCAGCAGGTGTGGGGTCTGGTTCTAAATTAGGCAGGGGCAAACTGCTGAGTGCGTCAACATGACCCATTTCTTTACCAGGCTTATGGACTAGCCTGTAATTGTAGGCTGCCATAAAGATTGACCACCTCAGCATCCTTGGAGATAGGATCTGAGGGACTTGCTTGTCTAGCCTGTAATTGTAGGCTGCCATAAAGATTGACCACCTCAGCATCCTTGGAGATAGGATCTGAGGGATTTGCTTGTCTGCAGTGAACAGATCTAGAAGAGGCTTGTGGTGTGTAAACACCTTAAAAAGGGTGACCATAAAGGAAATTGTGGAATTTCTTTATGCCTGCAACTATGGCTAAAGCCTCCTTATCAATTTGAGCATAATTTCTTTCCGCGGGGGAAAGTGTCCTTGAATAATAGGCTATGGGAGCTTGTTGCCCATTTGCCATTATATGGCTCAAAACTGCTTCTATCCCGTATGATGACACATCACATGCAATACTGATAGGCAGCTTTTCGTTAAAATGTGTTAACACAGGGTCTGACGACAGCAGTGATTTGACTGCTTTGAAACTGTTTTCGTGGGTGCTAGTCCATTGCCATTGTGCCCTTTTATCTAAGAGCCTGTGTAGAGGCTCTGCTAATGCAGCCTTGTAAGGTAGAAAGGCATGATAAAAGTTAAGTAGTCCTAGGAATGCCTGCAGCTCTCCCTTTGACTTTGGTCTGGGAGCCTGTAAAATAGCTTTGAGCTTTGAATCAGCTGGGTATATTCCGGCAGCGTCAATCCGAAAACCCAGGAATTCTGCGGAGTTGACTCCTATTTGAAATTTTTCCTTTTTGAGCTTCAGCCCGCTTCACGGAAGTGCTGAAGAACAGCCCTTAAACATTCGGCAAGTATCTCTGCTGACTCCCCAGCAATTAAAACGTTGTTGAAATAAGGACACATACCTGGAATGTTTTTTAACATGCGTTCCATCCCACTCTGAAAGAGCCCTGGGGCTACACTGACCCCAAACTGCAGGCAACGAACCTTGAATGCCCCTCTATGGGTAACTATTGTTTGAGCCTCAGCAGAGGCATCATCCACAGGCAATTGTTGATAAGCCTGTGCCAGGTCAAGCTTTGCAAATAAGCAACCTCCTTGTAAGGATGCCAGAATATGGCTTACTACAGGTACCGGATACGCATGCTGCTGCAGTGCCTTATTAATAGTACACTTATAATCAGCACAAATGTGCACCTTTCCATTAGGCTTGACCAGTGTAACTATGGGGGTTTCCCACACACAGCTGTCAATGGGTTGCAAGACTCCCTGTTGAACGAGCTTATCTAACTCTGCATCAATTTTGGGCTTAAGGGCAAAAGGCACTCTATGAGGCTTTACTCTGATTGGGGCTATGATTGGATCAAGGTGGAGAGCAATTGGTGCTCCTTTGTACTTCCCTAAATTGGGACTGAATATGTCCGCAAACTCCTGGCAGACAGCTGCCAAATCCGCTGTTTGGGTTCTGTTGATGCCAGTCACATGGAGGCCCAGGGCATCAAACCAGTCTAAGCCAATCAGGCTTGTTCGCTGGCCTTCCACCACCACGACACTGAGGGGACCCTCAAACTCTTTGAATGTCACTTTTATCATAGCTTCTCCTTTAACCGCTACGTGGGAGTTTTGAAAATCTGTCAAAATTAAGTCTGATGGCTTGAGTCTGACTTGTTTTCTGCCATTTCTGTAGATGAAGTTAAAAATCTTATAGGAGATTATAGACACAGCTGATCCAGTGTCCAGTTCCATGGAGCATGGAACTCCTTGCAGCTTGACTTTTAGTCTAAGCTTTTCTTTTAGAGGGCGATGGGCTCCAGTTCTGAGGATGCTCCTTCTTCCAGAGCAAAATCCTACTCTATTCTGCCCCGGGGTCCTATTACCTCTCCTGGGGAAGTCTTCGCGTGGCAATTCCCTCTGGTGACCTTTACAGATGGTAGCGATGTGGCCTTGTTTGCCACATGCTTGGCACA